TATGATTATATTGACTGTAGATAATCAACTAATCAAAATAATGATGAAATCAAATGTCACACAAATAATCAACTAATCAAAATTATGGTTTTCCATTTTTACTGTTTTTGTTTATTCCATCTATCCAAGTAACCAGAATATTATTACATTTGTTTGTTGTTAAGCACATGGCTACATATTGGGATATTTGATTTATTCCAAGTTTTAGCCTTATAAATCTTTTTTACTTCACATTTGTTTGAATTCAGTAATTTGGGGGGAATGGGGAGTCATAATTCTAGGGTCTCAGGTTTGATTTCCATTCCCAACAAACTTGCTCATTCTCTCAATAGACGAGAGAAGGCAACTTTGTGTGGGGTCTACAAATTGCATCATATTTAGTAATTTTGTTTTTGCCTTTTACTACACGCATGTAAAAACCTGCCCAAGAAAACTTAGAGATTGTTATGTCTTATATAAAATACACAAAAATTACAGTATTAGAAAGTGGGATTAACTGTAATCTTAATGAAATTTTTGTTCAAACTTATTTAATGTGACTCATATGTTATTAAGAACCCTGTGAACAACAAATTCATGGACTGAGAGGTTATTTGATGCATATGTACTACAGATAAGAAAAATGTGTTTGAAAAGACAGTATAATCCATATAGACCCCACTGATAATTTGAAAGTTAACCCTACAACGACGACTCCATTTTACTATCAATGTATTTTAGTGAAATTATTGTCGTCAAATCGTCATAGATCAAAGTTTTATATCATCTTTGTTTTTATTCATTTATTTCAAAAGAAACATCGAAAGCAATAATGAAATCCCTCACTTTTGTGTCACGGGACTCACGAGCTACAAACAAGGTCAAATTTGGCAAAGTAAGGAGTTAGTGATGTACAAGTAAGACTAAACAAAAATGTATTTTACTTGACCTTCTGAAATGTATGTTTCAAAGTACTTTCACTGAATGCAGTTGAAAGAAGAAATGAATTTTGTCAATTCCTGACAGATGCCAAGCCCACCTTCAGGTTGAGCTTTAGTTACATGTACGTATTTATACTCATTAGAAATAGCTCATTTTACATTATAATCCAACAACGGTAAGTTTGAAATTGGTGCCAAGTTGCAGGGATTGAAATATTACATTCCCAAGGAATTTCATCATTTTAGTTGGCTTTCCCGATTGAAAATGCATGGTTCATCCATATTCCTTTAGTTATGGCTAATGAAAGTATACATATTACATGGATTAAATTTTTTTTTAAATTCATGAGGAAATGCAACTTTACATAAGGGAATTTAATCTTCCTGATTGCTTTCCCTCGAGTGAATGTAATTTTATTTCATTATTTCTATCTCGGAGTTGTTGTCCTTTGGTAGATGTAACTGCTCATACTATTGATGGCTGCTTTGTTCACAATAGCATTTCAGTTGTTTCTTACCTAAGTATGTTATAGTTAGAGACAGTTGAATTGTATTTAGGTTTTACTATTATATTTTAGTTAATTATGCATTATTTGTGTTTTAAAATCCATATATGAAAGGTTTAATCATTTTTATAAAATAACCAAAACTTCCCCTTGCTCTGAAAGGCTGAAGTTACCAAGCATGTACTTTGCCAGAGTTCATACCATCACTAGCAGGTACTCACTAATGTATGTTGATATTAATAATCAATGGTAAAGAATAGGAAAGGAATATAAACTATAAGTGAAAAGGTAAAGATGTGAAATTATGCATATGACCCAAAGAAGATATTTTCCGATTATTCAACGAAGAAGTAAAAGGTATGTACATATTTCTATTTCTTCATTTAAGCATTTCATTGCACTATATGTTGTTGATAATAGCTACAGTTAGTAATTTGGTAGAGAAAATTGAAAATAAAATATAAACATTTACCTTAAAAAACTTTTTATATTCATTCAGAAGGCTCTAGAGATTACGTAAATGAAATGTGAAAACCTTAAGATAAAAAATAATATTTTAATACTTTGGTGAAAATCACATTGCAGGTGAACTATTTAGAGACCAAAGACAAATAACTACTTTAAATAATAAAAGTTTTGGTAGAAATAGTTGAAAAAAATCAAAATTAAGTATTTTATTTTTCTCAAACTATATGCACTTTCATGATGGTTCTTGTCAAATTTTAAACAATTTTATTCATTGTTTTTATTACTGAAAAGAAACTTAAAAGAGAGTTATGTAATGTCCTTCAGTCTGAAGCATGTCATCATTATTGGGTTAAAATCCTCTTGTTGTTTGCCAACTTGGAAGTTTGTACAAAATCAATGCTTTCTATAATCTACAAGATAAAAATACTTAAGATACACAGGCATAAATTTCAGTTTTATCAAATGTACCAGGATGTTACAATAAAATTGTTTTGAGAACATCATCACATGCATTATTCCAAGAAAACATTCTCAAGAGAGAAAAAATCTTTGCTTTAAAAACAGCTGATGACCAAATTTTAAAAGATTTAAAATGAGCTTTTTTCATGTACATATCTTTAGTTCACATTTATGGTAGAATCTGCTATTTAGGCCATAACATCCACAACTCTAACTTCTTGTTAATTTCATGTATGCAAAAATTCATTAGTGTTTACAACATTTAATGAAAAGGGCTATGAAGTTACTGTGTAAACTCCAAAGACATAGAACTTTACCACTTATGTAAAACCTTTCTTTTCCATAGTTGTCAAATGAAGTCTGAGTATATCAATACAATAAATTCAAGCTTCATCAACTAAAAAATATATCAATATGAGAGAAATAAAACTTATACAAATCCTGCATCTCCAAGTATATGGAATTGACCTCAATAGTGTAAGGCCTAAAATATCAACTTCATCCAAATACAAATTTAATTAAACATTAAAAGAAGCTTGATTCAATATATTCTGATCATGGTTACAGTTTTTTGGATTACTAATCTATGACATTAAATATTTCTTGTTAAGTTTGTTATACAGGATCATCTTCATTAAATTCTAAGATAGTTTTTCTTGATTATTATAGTTTTGATCGATATAGTTAGCCTGGTTTTAGTCAGAAGTTCCTGCTACAAGATGTGTGTAGAATCATATTTTCCTAAATCCTACCCTTAGAGCTATTCCAAATGTGTACATTTACTACCACATTGCTATGTTACAACAGGACTACTTCCACATGTGCTTGCAAGTTTAATGACATCCCAACAATTACAGTAACAAAAAGAGTTAATAAAATCCAAACATGACATAGAAACATCATATTAAGGGTGGGACTTTGAAATATTATGGTGGTGATGCACAAATTTTACATTACCCTGTACATATATATATATATATATTGTCAGGTATTGAACAACTGTATTATTTTCTCCATAAGTTTGGACATAATTAAGAAGTTCATATAGGCTGTATATATTTCTGGTTAATTGTGCAATTAAAACTAATAATATTAAAAAGATTAATGTTTATTGGAACGATGTGGTTGTAGGTAATTTCTAAAACACATGCAAGTTGGCAGTGGAAAGTTTTTTTTTTTTCAGGTTTGGTTACATGATGCTTAAGAACAATGCATGTGTGTATGTTTTTAATTTCAGTTTTTGTTATTTCATATTTTTAAAATAAAACAGTTTTTATATATAATGGGAAGATGATTTTATTGGCCTTTAAATAACTTTCATGTGTGAATTATTACAATTTAAGGCATTTTTAACAACTTTGTACAATGAGCACTTACAAACTCACAGTAGTAGTTCATTTACAGAATTTCACATACCTAACTTCTATACATTCCTCATTCAAAATTATTATCACTATCAGACACTGGTAATACCACTGCTAATACAATAGTATTGCTATTAGTAATGAAAGGTTTTATTATTGTGAAACCTTTATAATTGTTAGGCCTACATCCAATATTATAAATATTTAAATATGAAACTTGAATTATACATAACCCAAAGTAATGGCTCCCTTCTTACACTGACCTCTGTATAATTTTGGGTTTTAATTAATTGAAGATTGTGAAGTTACATTTCCACTTCTGTTTACAAGTCACTATTTGAACTTTTTTTTTACTCTGGATTAATAATTTATTAAGATATAACTTAGGGACAATAAGGGACCTATTGGTCCAACTAAGTCATTCCATCAACTACCCCAAACTTTAAAATAAAACACTCAAAGCCTAATAGTACATATGTACAATGCTATTATAAAAATAAAACTCATAACTTTAAATGACTCATACCCTGCCAAAATTAATATTTGTGTCCCCTAGTCCTGTCAAATTCATCATTAAGTGCAAAAAATGATGATGCATTAGCATCATTTCCCTTAGCAATAAGTGAATAACAACCTTAAACAAAAAAATCAGATCCCCTTTCTTCTTTTTTCCAAAAGAAATCAAATTCAGAGATCTTAACCTGTCCTCATATGACAACTTTTCTATCCTATACCTAGTACTAGCCTTCTAAACCCTTTCCAATAATTCATTATTCAATGTTTTCTACAGTAAGAAGCCCAAAACTGAATACAATACTCAAAATGTGGCCTAACCACTGTCCTGTACAATGAAATTATATACTTTAAAACTTTTATTTCGTACCAATTTGTCGAATGTCACCGTTTAAAATATTTCAGTTTTAGCGTTGTAAAGTAACATAAGAAAAATTGTTCAAGTTTGAAATTAAAGATCTAACAAATCAAACCCCTAGTAAGTTATTGAATTAGGTTGTATTATGATAAACAATTACATTTTAAAAAACAATATAACCTACTAGTACAATGTACTACTAACAATATTAATAAACTACTATTACTATTAGTAATAATAATAATATAGCCTAGGGCCCTAGGCCTAGTAGTAGTACCATAGTACTAGCAACATACACAGGAGCAACACAAGTCTCAAGCATTTTAGATATATGTTCCTTACTGGTACTTATATAACAACTTATATGAATTCTTTGAAATTAATTTTTGTTTAAGTGACAGATTTTACTTACTGGAAAATGGTATTTTTTCCAACATAATTTTATCTCCTTGACGTTCGCCATGGAACAATAACATTCAACGCCATTTGCAATACGAACAACGCGCATGCTCTACAATAAGTAGGACGATGATCAGCAGAAACATTACCACCAGATGGCATAGCTGTTGTATGTTTTTATATATATATATATATATATAGGCGTGTCTTTTGTTCCTTTCTAACAGAATACGGACATTATAAAAGCCAAGACTTAATACTGTAAATTGTTCATATTGTCACATAGCTCCGCCTCCGTAGTACACTCTCACAAGCAGTTTATGAATACACCTACTTTTGCAAATGTAGAATAATCAAGTTTTATAAAAGTAACCAGAATATATCCGTAGGCTACCTTTGGGTATAGTCCTTGATCTAAGTTATTTGAATTTTAGCACTCCCAAAATGTTCTTCGAAAATTAAATAAATAAGTGTGTTGTGTACACTTCGTAAAATATTTTTGGTAAGGCATTAAGAAATATGTGTTTAGTGGTTTTATATCTGCCTAAGTATAAACGTAAGTTTGATACATAAAAATTCACATTATACCTTATGATGATAATTAAATAAAGAAAATGCTTCACGAAAAGACAAGCAAATAAAATTCATTAATGACCTAAAACAAATGTAGGGTTACAATAATAAAGTGCAAAAATTTAGCTCTGCCCTAATATTCAGTGAATACAGTGCTTGATATCATAATAAACGAATTTCTTATAAAAATGTTTGAAGATTATACAAGAGGCCTACCCTATACTTGTCGAAATGTGGAATTCAGATACCTATTATTGTCTAGCAAAAAAGCAAAAAGTTTCCGTAAAATGCATGTTCAAGACTGCCCAGCGAAGAATAATTTTAACATAGACAATTGAAGAAAACAACAAAACAAAAGTATAATTTTAAATAGAAAAAAACAATTATTAACAAACACGGTGTTTATTTAACAAACCTGTATCGTCTGGCGAGAAGATCAAGAGAGCAAAACCAGGAGATGTACGGGTTTTTGTATTGCTTGTTTGAATATTGTTACGTCTCTGTGTTCGTTTGTTAATTTCCGTAGAAATTATTTTCGATAAACTTCAGCCATACAAATCCTTTCTTAAATAAAACTAGTTTATTCTTTCTCAACTCAACTTTGCAATACACTTAATTTCCACAGTCACTTTAACTTAAACACATGCTATAATTTCCAAAGAACGATTCACGCACTTTACTTAATACTGCGCTTGACTCATTTGTCCGTCTATATCTTCAATCTGTCTGTCTGCTATTATCTATTATATGCCGTCACTTCATTTGCTGGCTTATATATATATATATATATAAAGAGAGAGAGAGAGAGGGCGCGTAGAGAATACTAGAGTTGATACGAACATACATGATCCTTCTAGAATATCATGACGTGTTACTAGCGTCACGTGACTTCCGCTGTCGTAACACTGCTCCTTCCTTAGTACTGTTCGTCCCGAATAATAGCTACTTACATTAAATAAATACAT